GAATGCTGAGGTCCTGGGGGCAGGCTGGGAAAGGTCCCAGAAGTAGGGAGCCCCACAGGGCAGAAAAGTACTCGCCGAAGCCCAAGAAAGCAGCTATTCTGACCTGGCATTCGGGGTCCTGCGGGAAAGCTGCTACAGCGCCTCTCACCCAGATTCCTGGTTCTGCCCCTGTGCTAACCATTGGGGTGGCTCTGGGCCCCAGGACGGCCCGCTCTCAGTGGCAGGGCCACCTCCAGGTCAGGTGTGTGGGACACAGCCCAGCCCAGAGGCCCCTTCCTTCCAGGCCACGTGATGAAGGGCCTGAATGGCGCCTTCCGGTGTAGGCCGACCCAACCTGCTGCCAAACAGGATCCCTCCGTGGGAGCCCTGGCCCTTCCCTCCTGCCCTGTGGCCCAGGACCCCCTGCTGGGCCTCACCAGCCTCCTCCCTCTCCTCCCCTCTCAGGAGCAGCCAGAATCACTGAAGCCTCAGCCTTCGGCCCTCAGGCTTCCCCCAAACCCCGACTGTTCTTGCTCCACTCAGGCCCTGCCAGAGCTTGGCTCCATTAGTGCAAGGCCCGCGTCTGTCCTGCTTCCATCAGGTACAAGGCCCAGCCTGGGCCCAGGCTAAGGAAACGCCTGTTAAATTGAGTGGAAGCATCCAGTGCTCACTGGCCTCCCACCTCTGCCGCCAGGGCCACGGGGCAGGAGGCCTCTGGGTGGCAATGGACACCTTGCCCGCAAGGGCTTTCTCAGCAGTGCAGGGATGTGTGACAGGTAAAACGGGACAGGAGTGAATGCGCCCGGAAAAGCAGATTTCCCGGCATTTCTTTTTGCAGGAGGTGGTGATACCCCAAGGATTCAGACCCCTGGGGAGTAAGTGCCTGGGTTTGGGACAGAATTCTACATGGCCGGGGCTACAGTAAGATAATGTAAGAGTGTGTGTAAGTGGGGGAGAGAGGGAGGGAGTGGCATGTGGGGATGTGTACAGTGAGGTTGTAGATGGGGTGTGCATGTGTGTGAGGCTGTAGATGGGGTGTGCATGTGTGTAAGGCTATACATGGGATGTGCATGTGTGTGAGGCTATACATGGGGTGTGCATGTGTGTGAGGCTGTACATGGGGTGCGCATGTGTGTGAGGTTGTATATGGGGTGTGCATGTGTGTGTGAGGCTGTACATGGGTGTGAGGCTGTACATGGGGGTGTGTATATGTGTGTGAAGGCTGTACATGGGATGTGCATGTGTGTGAGGCTATACATGGGGTGTGCATGTGTGTGAGGCTGCACATGGGGTGTGCATGTGTGTGAGGCTGTACATGGGGTGTGCATGTGTGTGAGGCTGTACATGGGGTGTGCATGTGTGTGAGGTTGTAGTTGGGGTGTGCATGTGTGTGAGGCTGCACACGGGGGTGTGCCTGTGTGTGAGGCTGTACATGGGGGTGTGCATGTGTGTGAGGCTGTACATGG